CTGTATGTATTTTAGGAAACCTTAATTCTAATTTCTATATGTAAACCACATCACATTACACTATGAGCTCTCTTTGGTTGAGTGGCGAATTACCAATTAAATCAAAAAAATTTTTTCTTAATTATATTTTTATTTAATTTATACTGGTATATATTAATCTATAGTTTGCAATTTGAAAAATTAAATCCTTGCTTATGGTTAGAATAAGGGATTGGATGAGATATAATTTTACAAGAAATTTTTTTTATTAAAAGCCAAAAAATGTTTTATAATCAAAGTTTTAAGATATAGGTTGGTTTCTATATTGCCTATGTATATACACCTATGTACAAATAAAAATTGCCTTTTTATTTTTATTAATTTTTACTTGCTGGTTTAAGGTGTTCTGCAATATATAAACTAATATTTATATATATATTAATGAATATAACATATTTTTTATTATAAATTTTTTTTAATTTTTATAAATTTGTATATAAAATCAAAATTTCAATACTAAGTTTTATTAAGGTTAGAATAAAGCTCTAAATTATGATAAAAATAAATATTAACATTATAATTATTTTGACTTGACGCATATTTTAATTTGATATACAACATATATAAAATTTTTAATACAAATTTTTCGAGTATTCAGTAAAGTAGTACTGTACACTAGTATAGATTCTGACAACACATGAAATTTTGATAGTACATATTAAAATTAGAATTAAGGTTTCCTAAAATACATACAGATTAATTAGCCAATTTTTGAAATAAAAATACAACATAGATGGTAAAACACCATAGGCGCGTTTTTTTAAATTGTTTTTATTAGTTATATTATGTAAATAATTTGTGTTATATTAGATAATTTGATACAACTACAATTTTTATTATAAAAATAAAAAAAAAAATTTGTTGCAAACATTGTCACGGGTTGAAAAAATTTTTTGGTGAATACTGTGAATACTCAATTTCCCGATTTTATGTACATACGATGTAATTGTTTTAGTAAACAATTACATCATATGTATGTAAAATCGGCATCATCAAATGTGCTAAGGTAAGCGAGTAATAGAGTAATTGAGTATTCATGAGTATTCGCAGTATTCACCAAAAAATTTTTCAAACCACAATAAATCAGGCTATGGCGCAAAAAATTGGCGGTCCTGTGACTAATCCATCAACGATGCAAAATATTTGCGTTAATAAAATAGAGACGATATACCTGTATCTAAATTTTTGTGCGGAAAATTTTTACTTAATAACAGAAACACCAGTTCCATAGCAAATTTATAGCAAATTTATGAGTTTTTTTTTGTGATTTCTTGTTTTTATTTTTTATTTCGAATTTGTGTATTGTGCAATCGGATTGGGTAAGAATCACGGGACCGCCAAAATTTTGCGCCATCACTTTAAAGCTATATATTTAATTATATTTAATATACTTTTATATAAACTAAATATTCAATATACTATAAAATATTGTAATAATTCCCAGCTAGTGCAAGCTAGTGCAAGCTAGTGCAAGCTAGTACAAGTATAGACTAAATTTTTTAATAAGAGTATGTCGGATGAAACCGATATTTTCGATTAGAAACCCTCTACTAAGATACGCCAACACAAAAATTTGCGCCAATTGAACTTTTAAATCCTAATTTAGACTCTTATTAAAGCGCGAATAATGATATCTCTTACCATAGCGATAGAATTACAGAAGAAATGACGATCACTCACAATTTCTTATAAAAGGATGACCTCAATCTTAGAATTAGCCAGGACTGTCCTCCCAAAGTGCCAGTGACGTAATAAATACCACAGACACTTCAAATAATATTAATTACTCCCAAAGTGCCAGTGACGTAATAAATACCACAGACACTTCAAATAATATTAATTATTACGTGATCGTAAATAATAACCTAATCGGTGAAAAGGATTTACGTCACTGGCACTTGGGGGCTGGCTAATTCTCAATCTTGCAAATTTCTCACTCGCTTATAACTTAATAATATTCTAATTCTCGGAGAAATAATTATATAAAATATCTAGTTTTCTAAATGTTGGTAAGAAAAATTATTTAAAACTTAAGTAAAATAAAAATTAAGTAAATTAACAATGCACACAACAGATCAGCATTGAATGTAATATTAGATAATATTCTTTAATTACCTGACAAAGACAACAAATTCTTACGAGCTGGATGGTTGTTAATGAATAAATATGGATTTCTAATTTACAGTTTATAAATAGAATTAAAAAAGGTAACACATTTAAGTTTATGGATAACAATCCAGTACGGAGGTAAGCAAAGATCATTGTTTATCATGCATCTGCATAGAATTGCATGGCGGACGGACTTTCGTTTTCAAAGCGTCGAGTAAGATCGAAGTGGCTTCATCGTAAGACAAGATATTTCCTAATAAGACTAAGACATCCTTAACATGCAATTCTCATGAAATGAAGTATGATCCCTGACGGGAAGGCGTAGATTTTTCAGAACAAATAGAAAAGCGTAGTCGCTAAATATATTTAATTAAATTATTCTTTAAGGTCATCTTTTTTATTCGTGAATAATAACGAACGGAGGTAATAATCAAGCCTATCCAAGCAATCTACTGAAGTATTCTTCTGAAGTATTCTTCTGAAGTATTCTGCTGAAGTATAGCCGGTAAAAACACGCAACAAATAATGGCGCTAATGGCGATAGCATTTGATGAAAGTTATCATACATGCTTAAAAGAATAACAATGGTAAATGTAAGAAATAAATTTACATAATTTATTAGATGATGTCAATCAATCAATGCTATTTAATTTGTAATATATTATCGCAGTATATTATGAATTAGTGACCGAATATTTACCGAATATTTTGCATAGTATATTACCATTCTCTAAGCATTTAATAATAATAAGATGCAGCAGTGTTCTTCTATCCAATGTATAACCGCCCTCCTTATACTTTGTTATCAGATGCACATGAACAACGCCGCCTCACAGGATGATCGTAATCCGAATCTGTGTCTGCATGTATCACTATCCCAGCATGATTACCAAGTTTGCTGAGTAACGAAAAGAAAATACGCCCCGCAAATTTTTTTTCTTCTGGGTCCAACATTTATTACCATAAAAATACTAATATCATGTAAAGTTTTTTTTTATTATCCAGGCTGGTTTTTTAAGACCGGTTTTTTGGTAGCCAGAGAATAATATATTGGGTTATATGGAGAATAATATATTGGGGTATATAGAAAATAATATATTGGGTTATATTACAATTCGCAGTCAATACAAAAGCTGTATGTGTGCATTTAACTTATAAATTCCTTATCTCTGGAAAAAAAAAAAAATATATATATATATACAATATGTATATATGTATATATCTTATATATCTTTATTAATGTATATATAAAGTCCTTAAAATCAATGGGTTTGATTGGTCCCAAGTCACAATTGCCGATTTTTGAATTCGTAAAATAATTTCCAATTTTGACTTACTGTTTCGTATATCCAAATTTCAGGGTCCAAATGTTGGGAGCCGTACATTAAATACAAGATTTGTTAACCAATAATATTGCTTGCCAAAATTTTTTGATTTTTGGCGTTCATAGAATCAATTAGAGCTCGCAGGTTTGTTTGCATTTGTCTTATTTTTTTTTTTTTTTTCTCACCATAGATAAATAACAAAGAACTAAAAATTTTACTATTCCGGGAAAAGTAGCGCAATTATATATCCAGGCGATCGAAAAAATAGCATACAATTGTTAGCCTTCGGTGAAAGGAGATTTAATGCATCATTATAAAAAAAAAATAAATGCCAATTAGATGAGAAATAGGATTTTATTCATGCTGGAGTAAGTTTATATGATTTGTCACAAAAATGTCAAGAATAACAAACAAACCTGTGCGACAGCGGGATGGGTAAATAAATAATATGCAGGATTATTAAAAATGTTTATAATATAAAAATTTGATACAAGACGAGTAATTTATAAAACGGTAAAAAAATGTGTTAAAAAGAACACTTACTAACTAAGTCCCATTATACTTTAAGAGTTACGCCCACAGTAACAAATAAGCATGCACCTGGTTTTTGGCCTGTATCCTTCCATAACCAATTAACTGCCACGATATTCATTGATAGTCGGCACAACAATTTCGGGAAAAATCGAACTTTAAATTAATGTATTTAGTTGGTTTGACATTATGCAGGGCTCATATGCAATGGTGAGCCGCCAGCTTATGTAAATTACATAAAGCATTGCCGATGACGAAATTTATACCTCGTGACTGTCTGGTTGATTGATACTTTTTCCGCATGTTGTTTGTTTGTCTGTGCGCGTAGGTCAAGGAACTTCTGTTTGAGGGTAACGGCTAGGTAAGGGGATAATTAAAACATCGTATATATAACATGTATATACCTATATTATTATTATTATTATTATTATTACAATCAACTTGATGTGAAAAACAAAAGCGATGATTGACCGTTAAACTATTTAAAGAGGTCAGAATTCCTTTCATGGTTAGTTGCTGACAGATTGACGATTTTGAACATTGACGCCGTTTATAGAGGTGAAAAACGGGCCGTCAAATAAATTAATCACAAAACCTATAGAATTAAGGTGTTGTTGGGTAAAATCCATAAATTCTTACATAAGATCTTAAGTGCAAATATAGCTTTTTTTTTGTTTTTTTTTATAAAAAAAAAATATTACGCCGCTTAAGGACAACGAAGATCTCGCACCGCCATTAATTTGGGTGACCGCATGACACCTAGAATTCAGAATACATTCTGCTCTCAGGGCAACTGGTCTCCAGAAAGTCCAGAGAGATATGTCACAAGGTTGCCTCTAAAAATGGCGGCCGACGTAAACATCAGCGAAATAGAAATATTAATTTTCTGTAATGATGATTTACGTCTGGCAACATATCTTGTTGCCATGTTACGAAAAAAAGACGCCCGAAATATTCGATTATGTTACCCTTCACACCTGCCACAGGTATGATTATTAATTGTTTATTTATTTAATCTGTGTATGCTCACGTATTAATTTTAGTTCTTTTTTAAGTATGCGAATATTATGGATGCGATCGGGATCCCAGGTTGTTGGGAAACACAGGCTCAATATGAATGGAGTGTATCTAGTATGTTCTTTCATCATTTACATTTTCTTCTATATATATATTTTCTATATATATATATATATTTTCTTTTAAAAAAAAAATTTTTTTTTTTCATAGATGCGGTTGTAGTTATAAGTATGTTATATAATAATTTTGAAAAGCAGGAAATGCTTCTCAATGCGTGTATTAGCCAAAATGTTTCCTTATACATTACCTGGGACTCTGGCATGGAGCTGGAACCTTATGTTTCGGATAAACGATGTCCGCGAACTCGATTGCATAAACGTTTAATCGATCACCAGGCCAAAGTAGACAAAAATCAAGGATCAATGCGATGGATCTTATTTCAAGTGGGTATTTTTGACGAAGAAGTGCTTAAACACGATATTTCAACCATCACAACGGCTTTCAACAGTCCAAATCAATATATCTTTCTAAATGTTACGGTCAAAGAAGATTTGGCACAGTTGGTTGCCGAAGCAATCTCGTCAGATAAAGTCCTACCCAATAGAAATTATGTAGTCGGAGATTTTGTCGCTCACACTTTCCTTGGTCACGTCTATCAAGTTGCAAATAACGGTAACTCTCTGCCTTCTTTATCTTCAGAAATTTCTTGTTTTTTTCCTCACCATCTTTTTGATTGTTCAGGAATGCAATTGGATAATAACATGCCCGCCGACATATCTGAGTTTGAAACAACAAACCAATTACGTTTATCCGGAATAGTTTCTGCTCGACCCCTGCCCAGGATACTTTATCCTGGGTGTAGTATTTTTTTTCATAAATTAGGAATCGAGATTTCTTTTCAGCACGATGCCACGATTTATCGACTGCTGAAGCATCATAAGCGTACTCCGCTTAAAGATTGGATCCGAAAAAGGATCTTTTACCAGTTACACTGATCGCATTACTCTCCCACCTCTTTACATATAAGAAATTAAGATATGATAGGCACGTTACAATATATATGTTGAAAGGAAAGCTGTACAAAGTATACACTTAGTTACGATTAATACAATAACGATAACAAATAAGCAAATAAGCAATATATTAAGATATAATGTTAAGATATATATATTATGTAATTATGATCTCATATGAAATAAACAAGGAAATGATTTGCTGCACATCAAAAATTATTATTTGTACGTACGCACAGTACATACCATATTATCGCTTGCAGCAACAAATTTAAACCATTTATATTTTCAAAATTGGTTACTCAAATATCGATATTATTTCGATCCCTTTGACATAACGGAGACCATTAAAAATTAAAGGGACTAGATACATATACTAATAAAAATTAATTAGGTTATACAAAATTAATTTTTTTATATGGCCTTATTAAACAAAATTGTGAATTGCTAACAGTTAAGATACAC